ACTTTGAATCATAGAGGTTTTTTCTTTCTAAATTAGCCATATAGTATATATATAAAGGTATCTTGGAGAGAATTTCAGTTTCTACTAGAAATCTGCTTTCCTTCCTCCTGTTCTTGCAGAAAAAAAATGCTAAGCAAATGTGATTACTGATATATTCTGTATTCTAGAGTACTTTAAATTCTCTTAACAGATTGAAGACCTAATTTTTTACACAACTTTCTTCTTATGTATTTTTTTTTTAATCCTGGTTAAAAAACATAATGTGTATGTAAGAAATCAGTTGGTAGGTAAGAAGAATAAGTATTTGCCTATTGCCTTTGTAAATAGTAGGTTTCGAAAGGAATTTGCTGTATGAAATCCCTCTTCTCTAGCCTCGAGTATCAAAATAGGGCAGCATTTCATCTGTGAGTCCTCTCTGCTTGTAACCACCTGTCACTGGCTTCTCTGCCTCCCTGAGAATGCAGGGCAGCAGTCTAAGGAACAGAGATAACTGCTTTGACTACAACCATGAGTGTTCTGACGTCAAAATTGGGAATTATAAGACTCTAGTTGTTTAGGCTCTGTCTAATAAAAGTGTTTAGGAAATACCATGAAGATTGTCATGAAATCATTCACAGTGTTTCCATTGTTGTGCTTTAGCATTTACAAAAGTGTGATTTAATGAACCTTGTTACATCTATTTCTCCATTAAGTTTTACTCTGCGCTTTTTCTGCAGCTTGTACCAGTTTATCACATTCTAATAAAATATTCCTAGTGTTTTTTAGTAGAAGGAAGTACTAGGTTTAAGGGATGGTAGTTTAACTTTGGTTAATTTGTTTGACCTCTCTGGATCTTCTTTTCTTCAGCCATTAGTAGAAATAATGCAGTCATGTTTAACACATGGAGTTATTATGATGATGGGGGAACCTTATATTTTTAGAGTGCCTGCCATTTTTCAAAGAACTTGTACACTTTTATATAAGTGATGCCCAAGACAGCTCTCTATTGTGTGCAAATACTGTTACTTCCATTGTTACTCTTACATAATATATCACATAAATGTTTATATACAAGTGTAATAGGTTTGTTATTGCTCATGCACCTTTTCTTTTACAGAAACCACTTGACTACAAATATAGATATTTTCGTCGTGTTCCTGTACAAGAAGCAGATCACAGTTTTCATGTGGGGCTACAGCTGTGTTCCAGTGGCCACCAGAGGTTCAACAAACTCATCTGGATCCATCATTCTTGTCACATTACCTACAAGTAGGTGAATGCAATAAAAAGTACCAAAATTAGCATAAATGCATAGTTAATATCCAGCTCAGGAAACTCTTAAATGTTTTCAATTTGCGTAACAAAGCAAAACCACAATGTAATACTACTGCAAACCAAAAAAATGGCCAAAATTAAAACGGCTAAGCCTAAGTGAAGAAGTAGAGCATGCAGAGCACTCTCACCGTGAATTGGTACTACCATCATGGAAATGAAATTGGCATTTTATTACTTACTTACTTATTCATTGACATACTCAAGGCACTTTTAAATTTCCAGATCATTTTTTCTCTCCTACAGTTCAGTATTATTTTTTAGAATTCCTTAAGATGAATCAATTGATTAAGATGAATCAATGGAAATAAAATGGAACCAACCCAGATGCCCTTCAATGGATGAATGGATTAAAAAATGTGGCATCTATACACCATGGAGTATTATGCAGCACTAAAAAATGACAAAATCATGGAATTCGCAGGGAAATGGATGGCACTAGAGCAGATTATGCTTAGTGAAGCTAGCCAATCCCTAAAAA